ACCCCAGCTCAGGTCCAAAACTCTGACTGTCCAGCGCCTTGGGACTTCCTCCCGACGTGAAAGGTGCTATACAAATGTAATTTTGTTGTTGTTGTTGTCCTGAACACTGGGAGAAACCCCCTTTTCTTTTCAAATTGTGTCAAGGATCTGTAATATTCATTTGAACAGGCAGATGGTTAAAAACACTTAAACAGTTTAATGTATCAACCAAAAGACAGAATCTCTGACAATTCAGCACTCCCACAGTACTGCATTTGAGTTTCAGCCTACAAGTTGAAATCTCAATGCAAGAGTTTAACCTACAACCGTTTGAGCTCTTCCATGTTAACAATAACCACAATGGAAAAAACAGATTCAGTAATCAGAATCAGTGATATTAATAATAATAATCCTTACATTTTGTAGGGCATTTCACATCTGGAGAACGTCTCAAGGCTTCATAGGTTATATTGTAAAGTCCAGTGACTGTGTATTTGTAGGTGAATGCGATCGCCAATTTGTGCACACCAACGTCCCACAAATAGCCATAATGTGAATGATAAATTCTATGAGGTAAATTACTGATTAATTAATGTGGGATTGTCGATCAGAACATTGGGAGAAACCCTTCTTTTTTCAAATCGTGCCATGGGATCTTTAAAGTCCGGCAGACAGAACCGCGGTTTAACATCTCAATCGAAGGATGGCATCTTCAACAATCCAGTGCTCCCCAATGGAGTGTTATCTTAGACGATATGAATTCCGAATCCTGACGTGGGCTTGAACTATCTACCACCCTCTGAGCAGAGACAGGAGTGGTAACAACTGAATTCCAAGCACTACAACAACAACAACAACAACAACAACGACAAAATTACATTTGTATAGCGCCTTTCGTAGTTGGGAGGACGTCACTACGTGAGCAGGTACAAAATTATTCACTTGGCATCTGTACCCTGATTGGCAGGACTTAACCTTAGAATAATAATCCTTGCAGTAGCTCCTTGGGACATCCTCCTGACGTGGAAGGTGCTATACAAATGTAATTTGTTGTTTGTTGTTAATTCAACACTCTGGGAAGAAAAACCAAAGCATAAACCATGTTATTCTGTCACTGTTACTCTACACCTCCTTGTGGCTGGTTCTAAAATGACAGAAGAGGACAACCAATACAATTTGTATATTTCCTCTTTGTGAAGAGAGTCGCGTTGGAGATGATTACTCTTGATCAGGCATTTGGGTAAAGGGAACCTAAAGATTAAAAAAAAGTTGAAGTATGGGGGAAGGATAGCACTCACCATTCTAGTATTATTTTGGTCATTTTGGGAAGAATGAAATTAATCTAAAGCATGATGAATTTGATGCAGGCTTTGTAACGTGAGTCCATTTCGTATATTTTGGAATCCTAGAAAACCCTGTAAATCTCCTCATAGTCGACACCATAAATTCTGAATGAGATGGACAAAACCCTGGATAAGGGGGGGAAAGGTGTCCCTGACGTAGCCCTGATCCTCATGCCCATCTTTGTGTGTAGCTGCCTGAGTCTACGCCGGCAACAAATGCCGCTATGTGCTGGGTTTCTACCTTTACCCGGTGATAAGAAGGGTGGGTCTGGCAGAGCTGCCTCAAAATGTTCCACGTTGGAGCGTGCCGAACCACCTATCCTACGTTGAGGAATTCCTGCAGAAAAGCATTCCAGACCTCCGTGCAATCACCGAGTGGTCCGCAAGGCAGGTAGTCGAAACAGTTCGAAAAGGGTAGAGGGCAGACCCGATTAGGAGGTACCCTGTGGCGATAGCCAGCTATGTCTGGCAAAACACCTCATCACCGGCATTGACCAACGACCATCAGGACATGGCCTGGCTGGCGATAAAAGGGCCAACCCCCTCCCCCCCATCCCCCCCGGGCTTTCATGCACAGTCGAGGTCTGGGCCAGTCACCACTTTGCCCTCAGGCCGGCTGCAGAGACCAGGAGACCGTGGACTACCTCTTCCTGGGGTATTCGAATTCAAGATCCTCATCCTCACCTACAAGGCCATTCACGGCCTTGCTCCTCCTACTTCGACCGTGCCTTCAGCTCCCCTCTCGACTCTCTACCCCCTCCTCGCTCCCTCCCTTCCCTCCCCTCACCCTGACCATTTCCCCCCTGCTCGGGTCCTGTCCAGCACCTTGGGATGTCCTCCCGACATAAAAGGCACTCTATAAATGAAATCTTGTTGTTGTTGTTTGTTTCTCAAAGGCGGTTTGGAAAAAGATGGAATGGATTCTCTCGCGGTTCATTCCTGGGAACCTACTGCCAGGGGCACTTGGTACTGTACGGCCTGTTCCCTGGCACTCACAGCAAAACCCAAATCGAGTGTGCCTGGAGGATCATAAACTCGGTAAAGGAGGCCCTTTGGCACTCCGGAAACTAGATGTTCTTTTGGCAGAACGAGGGGATGGTGAGGGCCTGCCTCAGGCTCAGGCGTGCTGGGATCAGGGACTATATACTGAGGAACAAGCTGAAGTTCGGCTCAACCGCGTCAAAGGCCAGATGGGGCCTGATCCTGGCAGGAGCCTCTCCAGCATAATCCGCTCAAGGCGCACCCACCGGGTAGCCCACGAGGGCATCCAAAACTGACTGAAGTAAGGGTACAGAAGGACGCTCGAGATGTAACCAAAGAGCGTCCCAAAAATGTATGTACGGTAAACATGTGCGCGTACGGTGCACATCGGGGCACCTTCCGAAAGCGGCAAGTGCGCCTTATCGGGGTGTGTGCAGGCACAAACATGGATGTGGTGTACACAGGGGCAACTCCCGACTGTGTTAAAGGGAGCCTCCCAAAAAACGTGTGCACAACCTACGTGTGAGTGGAAGGAATGTGTTTTGTATTGGGAGAAAAGGAAAAGAGTTGTAACAGAAGATTCCTGTTGTACTAAGTATTATATTTATCAATAAATATATATTTTTAAAAACATTCTGAATGAGTGGATGGGCTAGAGTCTATAGGTATTTTCATAGCCTCTGCCAGAACCACTTGGACAAGCTGGTAGCCTGTGCTGCAGTTTTGACCCGAGGCAAATATTCCTTTACTCCCTGTTTCCAGGCTCTTAGTCCTGCTTCTTTTGACCAGCTGAAAGTGGTTACAATTATTTGCGTTGTCTATGTTTCCAGTACTGGATACATTTCACCCTGATACCTACTTTTCTGTCACAAGTTATTGTTATTATTTAGCGAAATCAGAGCTTACATTGAAATAGGATGCAGGGCTATTGTGACCCCAGTAATATTCACATCAAACAGAGGGGAAAATTTAATCAGTAACAATGCTCAAATAACATAATCTTAAGGTGGGGGGTGAGGGGCGGAGAGGTTGTAGTTGCTATTCAGATTACTGCAAATCATCTCTACTGCAGTTACAGATATTTATCTATTCTCAGAACCCATGATAGTGATTCCCTCAGCATTTGCTTCTTCCCAGCAAAAGGCATTGCAATTATCTGTATTCAAATAACTACTTAATAATATATCAACCCCAATACTATAGGAGGGACAACTCAAACAACAACAGAAACAAATTACATTGGCATAGTACCTTTCAGGTTGGGAGCACTTCCCAAGGCACTGGACAGTCAGAGATTTGGACCTGAGCAGGGCGTTGAGGTCAGGAGGGGTGGAGGACAGGGAAAACAGTGGTAGGAAGATGACCGCGAAGAGGAGGATCTTGAGATGTATCTTGAAGAAGATATGGGAGGGAGCAAAACGAAGGGAGTTCCAAAAGTAATTTGTTGTTGTTGTTTGAGTTCCCCCTCCTATAGTATTGGTATTGAAATCTTATTAAGTAGCTACATGAAATCAGAGAATGGCAATGTTTGTTCCTGGGAAGCAAATGCTGAGGGAATCACTATCACGGGTTCTGAGAATAGATAAATGTCTGTAACTCCATTAGAGATGATATGTTGCAAAATAAGATTGAATGTTATATTTTTTTCCAGGTGGTTTGACTTTGGAGGCGGTCGCAGCTCCAAGATAGTGATCCGGAGTAAATCCGTCGTCTTTCCCGTGCCCAGAGATACGAGGGGGAGCTGTAATCTCCCTCCACCAGCAGCATGCTGCAATGAAAGCTGAGTGCATTCAATGGATAGCTTTGTTGATGGAAGAGTGGATCAGCGGCTACAGGTAAAAAGCCCAACTCTACCACCCTCACATCGCTAACATCAATGGTATGAGGGCACATTTATTTTTGGTAGATTTATTTCAGGCCGTGCAATCTGATCGTTATCCGTAAGAGTATCCAAACCGGACCGAGAGTTCAACATATGTATAACACTTACACACGAAAAGCCCTCTGCGTTCGGAATGAAATGGTCACTTTCTCTCTCTCTCTCTCTCTCTCTCTCTGTGGAGAGCTTGTCTAGATCCAATAATAATAATAATAATAATAACAACAGCACAAAATATGCAGTCAATTCACCTATAGGGGCTATATAATGGTGAAGCGCTTTGAGACGTTTCGACGGCACGACGAGGCTCTGTATCAAACGCAAGGAATATCATTAATAATCATATTTTAAGGGCTCTTCTTTCCTATTCTTTCCTATTTCCAAAACCAAAAGCAATAATAAATTGGTCATTTTCAATCCACGACTGTTTGTGGGACATTGCTGTGCGCAATTGGCTGCCGCGTTTCGCCCACAAATATACAGTCAATTCACTTTACAGTGTGTTCTGTGAAGCGCTTTGGGACGTCCTCCCGACGTGAAAAGCGCTATATCAAATGCAAGGATTATTATTATTATTATTATTATTATTATTATTATTATTAAGGTCTCCAAACCCGAGCCCACTTGACTGACGGGCTGACTGATGAGCGTTGGGGGGTCACGTGGTGGCGGTGCTTTTGGTTGCCGCCCCCTTTTCCCGGGCGGAACCAGTGGGAGGTCCAACCGTGTTCCGGGGGGGACGCTTAAAGTGCTGGACCCGGAGGTCGCGAAGGAAAAGCCGCCGGCGGGCGGGCGGAGGGCGAAGCCCCGCGCACAGGATGTGGCTGCTGTCTGTCTCGGGCCGCCTCGCGCCGCTCAGGAGCCGTTTAACGGCTCGGCTGGTGGTGGCGGCGGCGGGGGGGGCGGGGGGCGCGCGGCACTGGCCGGCGGGGGCGGGGGCGGGGGGCGCGCGGCACTGGCCGGCGCCGGGAGGGCCCGGCAGGAGCGGCAGCCTCTCCGCGGCCGCCGTGGTGGCCAAGGCCCCCGCCTCCCTCCGGCCTTACCTCCGCCTCATGCGACTCGACAAATCCATCGGTAAAACAGCAGCGCGACGCCGTCCGCGGGGCCTATCAGCTCATAGGCTGAGCGACACTGACACTGACCCGTCACTGACACTGACCCGTCACTGACACTGACCCGTCACTGACACTGACCCGTCACTGACACTGACTGACCGTCACTGACACTGACCGTCACTGACACTGCCACTGACTGACCGTCACTGCCACTGACTGACCGTCACTGCCACTGACTGACCGTCACTGCCACTGACTGACCGTCACTGCCACTGACTGACCGTCACTGCCACTGACTGACCGTCACTGCCACTGACTGACCGTCACTGCCACTGACTGACCGTCACTGCCACTGACCGTCACTGACACTGACTGACCGTCACTGCCACTGACTGACCGACACTGACACTGACTGACCGTCACTGACACTGACTGACCGTCACTGACACTGACTGACCGTCACTGACACTGACTGACCGTCACTGACACTGACTGACCGTCACTGACACTGACTGACCGTCACTGACACTGACTGACCGTCACTGACACTGACTGACCGTCACTGACACTGACTGACCGTCACTGACACTGACTGACCATCACTGACTGACTGACCATCACTGACACTGACTGACCGTCACTAACACTGACTGACAATCACTGACACTGACTGACCGTCACTGACACTGACTGACCATCACTGACTGACTGACCATCACTGACACTGACTGACCGTCACTAACACTGACTGACAATCACTGACACTGACTGACCGTCACTGACACTGACTGACATTCACTAACACTGACTGACCATCACTGACACTGACTGACTGTCACTGACACTGACTGACCGTCACTGACACTGACTGACCATCACTAACACTGACTGACCGTCACTAACACTGACTGACTGTCACTGACACTGACTGACATTCACTAACACTGACTGACCATCACTGACACTGACTGACTGTCACTGACACTGACTGACCGTCACTGACACTGACTGACCATCACTGACACTGACTGACCATCACTAACACTGACTGACCATCACTGACACTGACTGACCATCACTAACACTGACTGACCATCACTGACACTGACTGACCATCACTGACACTGACTGACCATCACTGACACTGACTGACCATCACTGACACTGACTGACCATCACTAACACTGACTGACCGTCACTGACACTGACTGACCATCTCTAACACTGACTGACCGTCACTGACACTGACTGACCATCACTAACACTGACTGACCGTCACTGACACTGACTGACCGTCACTGACACTGACTGACCATCACTGACACTGACTGACCGTCACTGACACTGACTGACCATCACTAACACTGACTGACCGTCACTGACACTGACTGACCGTCACTGACACTGACTGACCATCACTGACACTGACTGACCGTCCCTGACACTGACTGACCATCACTGACACTGACTGACCGTCACTGACACTGATTGACCATCACTAACACTGACTGACCGTCACTGACACTGACTGACCGTCACTGACTGACCGTCACTGACACTGACTGACCATCACTGACACTGACTGACCGTCCCTGACACTGACTGACCATCACTGACACTGACTGACCGTCACTGACACTGACTGACCATCACTAACACTGACTGACCGTCACTGACACTGACTGACCATCACTGACTGACCGTCACTGACACTGACTGACCGTCACTGACACTGACTGACCGTCACTGACACTGACTGACCGTCACTGACACTGACTGACCGTCACTGACACTGACTGACCATCACTAACACTGACTGACCGTCACTGACACTGACTGACCATCACTGACTGACCGTCACTGACACTGACTGACCGTCACTGACACTGACTGACCATCACTAACACTGACTGACCGTCACTGACACTGACTGACCATCACTGACTGACCGTCACTGACACTGACTGACCGTCACTGACACTGACTGACCGTCACTGACACTGACTGACCGTCACTGACACTGACTGACCGTCACTGACACTGACTGACCGTCACTGACACTGACTGACCGTCACTGACACTGACTGACCGTCACTGACACTGACTGACTGTCACTGACACTGACTGACAATCACTGACACTGACTGACCATCACTGACACTGACTGACCGTCACTGACACTGACTGACCATCACTGACACTGACTGACCATCACTGACACTGACTGACCATCACTAACACTGACTGACCGTCACTGACACTGACTGACCATCACTAACACTGACTGACCGTCACTGACACTGACTGACCGTCACTGACTGACCATCACTGACACTGACTGACCGTCACTGACACTGACTGACCGTCACTGACTGACCATCACTGACTGACCGTCACTAACACTGACTGACCATCACTGACACTGACTGACCGTCACTGACTGACCATCACTGACACTGACTGACCGTCACTGACACTGACTGACCGTCACTGACACTGACTGACAATCACTGACACTGACTGACCATCACTGACACTGACTGACCGTCACTGACACTGACTGACCATCACTGACACTGACTGACCATCACTGACACTGACTGACCGTCACTGACACTGACTGACCATCACTAACACTGACTGACCGTCACTGACACTGACTGACCGTCACTGACTGACCATCACTAACACTGACTGACCATCACTAACACTGACTGACCGTCACTGACACTGACTGACTAGCAGTGCCACTGACTGACCGTCACTGACACTGACTGACCATCACTGACACTGACTGACCATCACTGACTGACCATCACTGACTGACCGTCACTGACTGACTAGCAGTGCCACTGACTACCACTGATTGTCATTGAGACTGACTGGTACTGACTGACTGTCACTGACTCCCGACTTTCTCTCACTGACACTAAATGACTGTCACTGACACTGACTGACTTATCAGCATTGTGTTTTATCCCAACTCTGGATCAAAACAATTTGTGCATAGCTGACACACATAAATTCTATTCTGTATGTTTCTGTGCTATATTAGGACACAGCATACACAAATGTACAATTTATAGAGCAGATTTTACATTAAATTTGTTGGACATTTCGGCACTCCAAAATTATACCCCGCGTGAAGGGTGCTACATACATGCAAGTTGTTAAGCGTACCTCTCCTTCATCAGTGGTCCTAAACACAGCTGTGATCAAGAGTTGCTATTCAACACAATGTTGCTAGGAAGGTTTATCCTGGCATCCATACAACAGTGAACATTTTCAGTTAAAACTTATACGACACGTATCTTTAATAAAGCTGTTGGTTTCTCCTTTTCCGTAAGAAAGTACTGTACTTGGCCTCTACTTTGCAGCTACCAACAATAGAATAAATAAACCCCATCAATTTACATTGCAGGGTGTTTGAGTATTATAACCATAATGGTTAGGATTCTAACTTGCAACAAATTGTACAAACATTATTGTAAATTGTATCATTATTTGACAGTTGTTGCGCTGTAAGGTAGAATGTTCAATGGGGTGAATGTCCCTGTTTTCTATAATGCAAACATCAAAGGAATTCTTGTTACCTATTTTGTATTCTATAACTACAACAATTGTGATGTGCAGCACTTTATTAATTCAGGTAACTGCTGTTCTAGGTACATGGCTATTGTATTTACCTTGCACCTGGAGTATAGGCCTAGCGGCAGAACCAGGCTGCCTGCCAGACCTGGCTATGCTCGCACTCTTTGGTACTGGAGCAGTGTTGATGCGAGGAGCTGGGTGTACAATCAACGACATGTGGGACAAAGACATTGACAGAAAGGTAATATTCATTTCTAGTGTCTTTCAATAAGGGTGTGTTTTGGGGGTTAGCTTGGCGTAGTGCCTTGGACCTGTCTGGTCAGGAGCGAGAATATTGAGGTCCTCGGGATTGACTCATTTTGCATATTCCATTACCTTGGAGCTAAGCCAGCTCAAATAGATCTTGCTTATCTCCCCTTCAAGGAAGATAGTTTACTCTTTGGTCATTAAATATCTAACGAGTGCAGATCTGAGCCATTATAATAATAATAATAATTATTAAAGTGGATAGCACATACTAAGAAATATGTAAACTTGGTAAGCAACACAATGAGAAAGACATGCATTGGAGCTAAGTACTCCAGTGCAGTACTGCAGGAGCGCTGCTTTGTTGGAGGTGCCATCCTTCAGATGAAACTTTAAACTGAGGTCCCGTCTGCCCGTTCGGGTGGACATTAAAGATTCTCAGTAACATTGCCCTCCTCTGCCACTACTTTTCCACAGGCTGCCGAGATCCTTATTCATGCTTTCATCACTTGCAGGCTTGACTATTCCAACACATAACTTGATTTAATTAGAAAAATTAAACTGCTGTCCTAACTAAACTAGTGCCTTGGAAACATGATTTTGATGTTGATTCAGATTTCCATTTTGTGTGGAACATGTATATCAAAGCAACAGGATGGCAGTGTGGTATTAGTACATAACTACATAACAGCAATACTAATCAACTCCATCACCAAGCTTCTGTGTTTGATGTGAAGTGCCTGGTATAAGATAATGAACTCACCTTGGAATTCTTCAAGTAAAAATGCTGTGAAGTGTTTTGAGATGTTTTGAAGATGCGATAAGCTGCTTAGATTATTATTATTATAGATTATGCAAACAGTATTATTGTAATAACTCAGTAGGCTATGTATTTTGGAAGTACAAGTTAAATGGGCTGAAGAGCTTTCTTCATCGGACCCAGTTTTTTTTCACAAAACTGCAATTTGCTTGCTCTGAAACAGGTGGCTAGAACTGGAAATCGTCCCATAGCTGCTGAAGAAATCAGTCGTTTTCAAGCCTTGGTGTTTCTGGGAGGCCAGTTGAGTTTGGCGCTTGGTGTTCTTTTGTGTTTGAACTATTATAGGTAAAGGAAATGCTTATTCCTAAGCAGGAAATAGAATATTGGCAATTATTTTGATAAATATAAATGGTACTAGAAACGTTACAAATTACATTTGTAATTTTAAAAAAATATAATAAACATATTGTGCTTTTGATGCTTTCTTTACATTGTTTGGGGATCAGCAGGTGTCTGACACGTGTGGAAACTCATTGCAGAAACCCATTACCATGTTTAAAAGTACTCAACAACAACAACAACAAGATTCCATTTATAAAGCGCCTTTCACGTCAGGAGGACGTCCCAAGGCGCTGCTACTCTTAGTTTCCTGAAAAAAATTAAAAACAGCAAATATAGTAGTACAATGATTTGTATTTGAGCTGGTCTGAATTTCTCTCTTTCTGTGACTCATTAAGATTGTAATCTGATACACTTTTTTAAATAGTCAGTTTTGAAAGTATCTGAAATTGGCTACAGATGAGCCTGAGTTGGAATAATATAGATCTTTGTGAGTTTGAGGTTAAGATGCATTGTTGGACAAAGTTAAGAGAACTATGCTCTTGGTCTAACTCCTACTGCACCTGACTTGTCTTAAAGTTGACTTAACAAACCAACATTTACTTTGGTGTTGTTTAAGAACAAATATAAAATTATTTACTGTAAATATTGCATGGCGTTACTTATAATTTCTAATTGTTAAATGTTAAATTCACAGAGATCAGATCCATGTTAATACTGTATTAGCATAATGCTTATCTGGAAAATATGGTTTGTGTGTAGTTGACTGAACCTTTTTTTCCATAATAACCTAAAGATAAGTAGATTAGTTTGATCAATGAAGGGTATTAAATAGACTTAGCAGATGTCCAATCTCTTGTCTTATTACAGGTCTTCTATGCTTAAGAGTACTTCAGATGTTGTATTAAATAAATTGAATGTTTCAATCATGAGCCCTTTTAGTAGCTTTACAGTGTTTGTATTTGAGATCAGCCGACTCAGCACAGATTAGGGGCCATAGCTAATTCTTTCCACCTTCACTTTCACACTTGCCAGTGAGGTTACTGACTGAGCCAGCAGGAGCAGAATAAAACAGACCATGTTGTGTCACCAGCAATTTAAAGATCATTTGTGCATTTAATGATTTTCACCTTAACATTGCATTTGCACTGGCAGTTGTTTCCTGGAGAACTTATTAACACACTTAACATCACCTAAACACCCAATTATTTTTGTTGTTTTATTCAACAGTGTTTGCTATCTTACCTCCATAAGCTGAAGGTCATCCAGAACTCTGCAGCTCGTGTCCTTTCCCGCAATAGGCTCTGTGACCCCATCACCCCCACCCTCACCCGGCTCCACTGGCTCCCCCCCCAGATGATAGAGTTCAAAATCCTCATCCTCACCTTCAAGGTCTTCCACAGCCTTGCCCCTCCCTATCTCTGTGACCTGCTGACTCCATATCAACCTGTCCGCTCCCTCTGCTCAGCAGGCTCTGGTCTGCTCCACGTCCCCCGCTTAGCCCTCTCCACCGTAGGTGACAGGGCCTTCAGCCTTTCTGCCCCCACCCTATGGAACTCCATCCCACATTCCCTTCACCTCGCTGCCTCCCTTGCTTCCTTCAAGACCCATTTCAAAACCCTCCTTTTTGACCATGCCCTCGGCCATGGCCACCCTCCTAACCTGCCTGCCCTCCATCCTCCCCGATCCTGACCCCCAGTTCGAGTCCAAATCCCTGACTGTCCAGTGCCTTGGGACGTCCTCCCCAATTGAAAGGCGCTTTACAAATGTCATTTTGTATTGTATATTTAGCACTGATGTACATTATCCTGCATTTCTCAGAGACAAAATGTCAAACATCAATCATGTGAATAATGTCATTCTCCTTGGTGCAATTGCTTCACTATTGCTAAATGCAGCAGAAGCCAGTAAGACATTATTCAGGGTACAATATAGAAATATTTTCTGAAAATGTGTCAACTCTAGTGGTCTAATTCAGCAATATAAAACTGCCACAGTAGTTTGTATACTTTGTAGTTTCCGCTTCTATATATTACTTTACTACAAAAGATGTTGATTTCCTTTCTATCAACAGCATTGTTCTTGGAGCTGCATCTCTGGCTTTGGTGGTCACCTACCCTTTGATGAAGAGAATAACGTACTGGCCACAGTTAGTTCTAGGTATGTATGTGTAAGAGGTTCATCCAACAGAATGGGTATTTGGTCTGTAACAAATGGTTTTCGAACCTCAAACTCAGACTGCAATAACACATCTACAAACAGGTTAATTACAAACATACACTATTGAAGTTTTATCTTTTTTATTTTCTGCTATCCATCTGTCTGTTAGCTGTTTAAGGAACTGCAAAGCAATTTTAAAAAACTTCAGTAGAACTATATTTCTTTGGAGCTCCTCTACTCCCATTAAGGACAAAGAAAGATCCAAATCCACATTCCTACAACAAAAGCTTCTTGCTAATAGACTTGTATTGCAGTGTCTTCAAGCTAAACATAGGAACAGATCGAATGACTTTAGTACAGATACAATTTCACTTTAGTAATTGTTTAAAGTTTACAAATACAAAGAGTGGACAGTTGTAACTGATTAGTGGATTATTTTTTCCCAAGAGCAGAATGTGCTGGTGGTAGGAAGGGGTGAAGGAGACAAGGGAAATGAAAAAGTAGCCAGAGATTACTTTGTCAGAGATGGAGATGTCTGATTTTAAGAGATCTTGGGTAATTTCATGTCAAGGGAGTGACCATGGATATGAGTGGGGTGTTTATATGAAGGTGAGGATGAGAGAGGAGGGTAAAGAAGCCAGTGGAAATGTAGCAGATAGGGGCGAAAGAGAGATTGAAATCACCCAAAATGAAACACTACATGAAATTCAAGTACAGTATTACTTAAATGCTCATCAAAGAATGACTTGAGGAATCTGTTCTTTATTTCATTAAGCTGTGCCTTGTTTTCTGTTATCTGAAAGCCCTTCATTTATTCAACAGTCTGTATCTATGGTTAGTATTTTCACAAATATGCATTGATAACGCTTAATTCATCAGTCAAAATAATGTCAAATGTGTAAAAGATTTGTCTTATTTGAAAACTGATGAATATTTTTTCTATGTATAGCATATTAAATTTGAAATATCAATTGCCTTTAGGTTTTACATTCAATTGGGGGGCACTTTTGGGATGGTCCGCAGTGAAGGGTTCCTGTGATTTGTCAATCTGCCTGCCACTGTATATCTCCGGGATCATGTGGACAATGATATATGACACCATTTATGCACATCAGGTAGAGTGCAAGTAAATCGTTTGAAAGAATGTGATTGAAGCAGCATCACAAGAGTTGCTAGTGCTTAACCAAGATTTTCCTTTGTCAGGAATCCAAACGGTGCTACAGTTCAATATTTGACTTCAGTCCAAAATGTCTACATAAGATGCCATCAGCAGACTTTCACATATTGCACTCTTGTCTGTTGAACACTGCCAGATTGTGTCACCAGGCATTTTATTTCTGGAAGTTCATACACAGAGTTAACCATTACTTGCTGAATATGTGTTTTGGTGAGGGATTTAGGCTATGCAGAAACCCATCATCATGCTTAAGAGTATCCATACCAAACAGTTCAGTGCATGCTAGGCGGGCGATCCTTCATGGTACTGTCCTTGACTGGTTCAGATCGTACCTCTCACATCGTCTCCACTTCATCTCCACAAACGGTTTCTCCTCCAGCCCCTGCACCGACTCGTGTGGCATTCTTCAGGGCTCTGTCCTTGGTCCCCTCCACTTCAATATCTATATGCTCCCTCTTGGTGACATAATTTCAGAGGGGTGATATGGTTGCAAACTTTACAGGGAGACATTGCATAGATTGCTGGATGTCAATATTTAGCCCCTAATCTCAATTGTATTGTGCATTGTTGTGGACTGGAAACAAAGTATGTTTCTAATGATGAGGTGGTTTTCTTTCTATTCTATTGTGACTCTCCATCGTTTCAAGACATATCTTTTGATCAAACTCAATGGTGTCGTCTATGAAAGCTATTGCAGAGAACTGAGCAAGAAAGCTTGCATGTTATTTGGGTTATGTAAACATCTGAATTCAATGTTACTTTCGTGAAAGGACACATCCGATTATATTTGAATCTCAGCTGTACAAATACTGTATTTGTAAAACCATAGTAAAGGTAACCAAATCAGTTACAATGTGGAATTTGAATTGATTATATTGAAACAGGACTATATAAATAAAATGTATGTGCAGTAACCTCTTAATAACTAGTCACTCCAAATGGAAAGGATTTAGCATCTAGTTATCCAGAGTGGCTAATTGGACATAGGCCCTCCCGGGCCACAGAGGGGCGCTGTAACTGGTGCGGGGTCTGGCAAAGCTTGGTCACGAATGCTCAGATGCATTCTGGTCTTTTGGAGGGATGCTCCATGGCCTCCTGTCCTATCCTATCGCAGAGGCCTCTGGATTATTGGAGGACCATGTTGCAGTCTCCAGCTCTACCCTGTCACAGGCGGATTGCTTTTCCGGGGGTAATAATCCCTTCAAAACAAAAAATAATAATAATAATAATTTGGTCACTCAATCTGTGGTAGTGACAAGTTAAGCCAGAGTCTTGTTATCAGGAGTTTACTGTAAATGAAACAGGCAAGTAAATAAGTTATATTCAATGGGTGTTGTGTATGACTTAAAATTTAAAAGATTTACAAAGAATACCAACAGGGAAACTTGCACTCAGCCCAACCAGTCCGTGCCATTGTTTATACTCCACACAATTCTTCGCCCATTCCTTTACTCCCTCCCATATCCTTCTATTCTCCTCTCATTCATGTGAAGGTCTAGCTTCAGGCAGCGAGTTCCACAGTCTCTAATAATAATTATTATTATATTTATATATAATATTAATAATTATATATTATATCTTTTTATATATATAAGGCCTAATAATTCCTCCAAACAATAATAAATTGGTCATTTTCAATGCACAACTGTTTGTGGGACACTGCTGTGCGCAATTGGCTGCCGCGTTTCGCCCATAAATATACAGTCAATTCATTTTACAGCATATTCTGTGAAGCGCTTTGAGACGTCGAGAAGACGTGGAAAGTACTATATCAAATGCAAGGATTATTATTATCTCAGTACCCTCTGTGAAGTAGTTCTCCTAAGTTCTCTTTTTGATCCCCTAGTCACGATCTTGTATTTGTGTCCCTTGATTACGGATTCCAACCAATGGAAACAGCCTATTTATGTTAACAGTACTTAACCTTATATCATTTTAAATCTTTTGTTAGATTCCCCCCGTTAAACATCTCCTACTTAACGAAAAAAGGCCCAACCTACCCAGTATATCCTGATAGTAATAACCTGCCAGTCCTGTTATTCTTGTAAATCCACACTGTACTTTTTCCATCTTGCTATATCCTTCTTATCATGTGGAGGCAAGAATTGAACACAGTGCTCCAAATGTGGTCTAATCAGTTTTATATAAATTTAATATCATCTCCTCACTTTTATATTCTATCCCTCTGGATATAAAACCCAAGACTCCATTGGCCTTTTTTTAATAGCCCTATCTACCTGTGTAGCTGGTTTTTTGAGTTTTGAGGATCTGAATCCCCAGATCTCTGCTCCTCCTCTTCTCTTAAGTTCCTAACATATAGGCGGTTTCTTTATTTTTCTTGCCAAAGTGAATATATTCCTCCATTAAACTTCATTTGCCAGTGAAGCTTCATTTGTGGGATGAGATAACATGTGCTGTTAATATTCTACATTTCAGGCATGACAGGAGCATCTTTTATATATTGCATTTCTTTATCTAGGATAAAGCAGATGATGTTCTAGTAGGAGTAAAATCGACTGCATTAAGATTTCAAGAAAATACCAAGCAATGGCTAACTGGATTTAGCACCGTCATGCTAACAGGATTGATGACAGTAGGAATAAGCAGTGAACAGACTTTACCTTACTATGCTGCTGTAATGGCTGTTGGAGCTCATCTAACCCATCAGGTATGAATGTTTATAGGTTTCAGAAATGGATGCTAAAAGACATTTTAATACAGAAGACCTTTTTTTTCATTTTCTCCAAAGTATTTTTTGTTGTTTATTGGTACTTAAGATATTTGTTCCAATACCTTTCTTTCACAAGTTCCAACAGAAGGTTTTGGGATAATTAGCACTTCCCTATAGTCTTGATCAAATTTGATGAGTGTTCCTTTTGTGTTGAAGATTGAAAACACAACTTTCTGATTTAGAGGCAAGAGTGCTATCAAGTGAGCCAGACGCCGTTAATTCTGTTCCGATGAAGTGAATGACCAATTTTATGTGGAGGAATAACAGAAGAAATTCCCTTTTTTTTGAATAATGCCAAAGGGTCTTTAAAGGTCCACCTGTAAAGGCAGATGGCACCTCAGTTTAACATTTCTTCTGAAGTACAACATTTCTGACAATGTAGCAGTCCCCCAGAACAGTATTGTAATTAATCAACCATAGATAAAAATCCTAACATGTGGCTTGAACACACAACCTTCTAACTCAGAGGTTAGAGTGCTGCCACTTATCAATAAAGCTACTGTTTTGTTAGTATTTGGCTTGCTTATTTGAGTTTTTTTCAATGTTACCCAATAAATCCAAATTTTCACTGAATTTACCTGATTTGGATCTTTTGTACGTCCCTCATCCCTTCACTGCGCAATTAGTGGCTGTGCTTTCAGCCACTGTACCCCTGAATCTCTGGAACTCCCTGCTTGAGCAATCTTCAAATCACACCTGAAGACTTTCCTCTTTGACCGTGCCTGCTGTCACCTCCCCTCTCTTTCCAGCTCAGCGTGAAATCGAAGTGTGGAGGGCGTTATATAAATATTAAGCAATAATATACTTCTGACATTCAAAGTAGGTGGAGTTAGGTTCAGTGAATTTGGGTTCACGTTAGGTAAGATTATAAATACATAAGAACATAGGAAATGCTAAACGAGAAAAGACCAAGATCCATGTAGTTCGCTTTCCACCTTCCTGGTGGTCGCATGCACATATGTCCCAAACTACCTATGTACTATATCCCATAATGTTAATTCCTAAAAGAAAACTATTTAATCTGTGTTTGAAAGAATCAACACTTCGACTATATACTGTTATAATACGATTATAGATCACAAGCACAATATAAATTTAACTTGTTGTTGATTGCACACAGTCCTTTAAAGAGTGGGTGTGAAGTGTAGAATACTTTTTGTAATCAACAGAAACCTCAAATAACTATTACTCAAAACAGTCAGACTGAGTTCTCAGTTATGCCTTTCACTCAAACTCTAGCGTTTGTTTAATGAGGTCTCAACCAGATGAGCAGCTGGGTAACATAGAATGTGAAGTGTCCAATAACACTAGTTGAATAATATCTGTAATTGGTAATCCATTGGGACACTTCATTTCTCATGGGATTCGTGTGATTTTGTTTGTATTCCACACTGTACTGCTTTCTGGCTGGGTGCCCTGTCACTCATCCTGAAGAAAAACAAAAGCTGAGTTCAAATTTCCAGCAGCTCTGAGTTCTTAAAATATCTGCCTTTAAAATTATTGAACAATTATTCAGACAATGAAATGTGTAAGCAATCAAAGAAGCCTTTCTACTACATTTAACAATAGGAATCAGAAATTGTGACTGTCTTCGTTGTGTCTTCAGTTTTCAATAAGTACTCTTAAGATTGAGATCAAACCACCCACTCAGTCACTTAATTTGAGATCACCTTATTTTGGCTGTTGACTTTATTTGAAAGATGTGCGGTTAAATGGTGTATAAAACTTGTTCCACGTAATGTTGATTTATATCATATGCAAAAATTTTCCTCCCCAAACAGATCTATTCTTTGGACATCAGTGAACCGAAAGATTGCTGGGAGACCTTCGGTTCAAATCGCACTTTAGGACTTATACTTTTCTCTGGAATAGTGCTCGGAAATCTGTGGAAAGGGAAGAATAAGACTGATCAAACTGAAGATGTTCAGCAATGAATTAATGGCAGTCTACAATTCTGGAAGCAGAAATCAAACAGATGTAGTGGAGAGATACAGATTGAGATTGGTTCTACTTGTACCTTCATTTTTCTAATTTGTATCATGAATTATAGAAGTGTGCTGTACGTTCTTTCATGGATCAGTCTTAAGAAAAATATTTCAGTCTTTTAAAAAAATATTTGGTTATTAAAATGAGTTAATTTATAGAGAGAACACGTTTTGAAATCTGAATTTGACGACAACAACAACAACAACTTGCATTTATATAGGGCCCTTCACACGGGGTAGCATCCTGGAGTGCCCACAATACACGTATCAAAGAAGTTCGAAGGGGATATTTCACGCAATGCAGGGTAGCCCTGCAATTCTGCGCCTCACTAGAGCTCTGGTATTATTGTGTATTCACCAACCAATTATATCACTTTATGGTGGAAGTCAGCCTTTTTCCGCACTTTCCTTTTAATGTGGCCTCAGAGACACATGGAAATCCCAGAGATAGATTGTTGGAATGGAATGCACGCTCTCTCTGGAGGGACGCATCCTGCTTACCTAATTCCGAAAAGTATTAGATGCAGATCGGCAAGAGCCAAGGCTTGGGGACCCCAGAGTGTGGGTTAGGGTACTGCTGGAGTCTAACCAGCTAAAACCACATAGCTTGCCATTGATACTGCTGTCTGGCAAGCTTTCTTGCTGCTCGTCCATCTATGACTATCCTACCCATTAGGGCTTTGGCTTGCAGGGTTAACAGAAGTTGAGTGGGAATGTCCTCTGCTCTCAGTGACTGGTCGGCCTTTCAGGTCCTGCCGATGAGCTAGGCTGGCTGTACTGTCAGCAGCAGTGCCCTGGAATACTGCAGACCCGGAATCGGCTCAGGAACCGAACTACTGAAACCGCCACAGAAACTGGCTCGATACCGACATTCCATTGCCAGGCATGTCACCCCGGAGTCAGTTTAGACCCCGTTTACCTCCACCTAACCCCCCACTCCACCCAAGGAGGATAGTCACTAGTTAGTCGTTTGTCATCCGATAGGCACCGAATTGAGCACTGACTAGATTGTACCTCTATTAACCACCCTGGAACAGACCAGGTAGATTTTGCATAATAAACCTCTATTCAGCATCCACTTGTCAAAACGCAACCAGTGGCCACTCTTTGTTAACCCTTTTACACCCTGTACGACACCCCATTTAGCAGCCAATTCTTTATATGTTAATGCATTGAGGTAGATTCACAAGTAAATTAAGCAGCACCAACAAAGATAAGTGACATTTTCACACATTTGTTCTGCGTTGGACGTGTGTAAAATACAGTCAGAAAAGTGAGAGCCCACCAGAAATTGGTTATGGACGTCTTCAGTAAACAGTATTGACTTGTGATTGTAACAATGTAAGTGTAGAACTTTCCAAATACCGTGTTAACTACTCAGTTGTATTTTTTGGTGGACATTTTGACAGTTTTTCAATTTTGGGGTTTGTTTGTGTATTGTATTTTTTTATACACTTAGAAATTCTGCACACAACCAACAAACCCTTACTCCATAAGGCCATCCTTGTATAATGGCCAACTTGGCCCAGTCCCCTGGCAGATTGTTGAAGACAAATTTGACTGTACCAAATTCCTTCTCGAATATGCTGACACTCTTACATCCTGGCTTGTCCACTGCACATTATTTACTCCTCTCGGTGCAAAATAATTAAATTTGAGTTGTCTGTGCACTTTCCCTGTATTGAGCTTGAGACCAGGGTATGTGCAATACATTAAGATTCAATCTATTTATACTCTTTAGGAAATATTTCAATAATAACTTCCCTGAGCTTTCTCCAGTGTGAACATTCCAAGTTCCCCTAACGCAGGTGCCTAAATCCAGCTTTTGATTATTTTCCCCTTTCTGCAACCTCTCCAACCAGTCTAACAAAGCAATCAGATAGTTACAGATCAGGTAAGGGGGGAAAAAAAGGTCAGAAGGTATAGATACAGGTAATGTGGAAAAAAATGAAATGTTCTTAGATTTCTTTGTAATATGGCGTGATGTAAAAGCTGGCAAAGGATTTGATTGCAATCAACACGTATGCAGAGCAACTGAAATTGTCAAGGGGCCAGAGACCTATGTAGAGAGGTGTGCTTCCAAATCAAGTCTAACTCAATTTGCTACGGTGTAAAGAAAGGATCTCCAGAACCTATCAATTTCCTGGTGAGTGATTCAGATTTCTCAAGTGAATTTTAAAAGAAATAGGTGTAATTATTGTATGTGTAGGGATTGAAGTATTCAATATCTGAGCTCAAGTGACATTGAGAGAGGGATTTAAGTCAAAAATGCACTGGGAGGTGTGAGGAGAGCCTGAAGAGTCACTGGCTGTAGAGTTTGATCGGAGCCACAATGCACAACGTATCATGCTCTGCAGTCCTAGTTATTGATATTGGATTTCAAAAGTGGATTTTGATGGAAAGCAGGGACAGAGTGGAGGAAGTTTTTCTGTCATGTTTGATCTATACTATATCTGCTGTAATCCAGTTGTGGAGCCAGCTGTAAGTTCAGTCCCTGAGCTACTTTTCTGACCAGAGATTTTGTCACTGCTGGAGTTTGGTTTTAAATTATTAACATTTTCACCCTCGCATGTCGTCCTCTGCAGTAGCTGAGTTAAATAATAATAATAATACTAATAATAATCCTTGCATTTGATATACCGCCTTATCATGTCTTCTAGACATCTTAAAGCGCTTTACAGAATATACAGTAAAGTGAATTGACTGTATATTTTGTGGGCGAAACACAACAGCCATTTGCACACAGCAGTCACCCACAAGCAGTTGTGGATTGAACGAGCAAATTATTATTACTTTTTATATTATTCTTAAGGGATTATTACCTCTAGCAAAGTGATCCGCCAATCGACTAACGGCCAGGTTGCTACTTACTGCTGGGTAAACAGGGGCTCCATGTCAGTACTTGGAATTCATATGGTATACACTGACGTTCCCACACACAATACTGTGAGTTTGCTGCATCTTGGAGGGTGGAAGTGATGAGCACACGGAGCCAAGAGTGGGAGAAGACATAGCCTGCAGAGTTCTGGATAGTCTACTGCTTGTGTATTAAGGAACAGTCAGGCCCCGACACCGGACTGTTCTGCGCTTTGGGATGTCCTCCTGACATGAAAGGTGCTCTATAAATGTAATTTTGTTGTTGTTGCTGTGGAGCCTAATAATTTGGCTGTTAGAGTAATCAAGTCTGGACATCATGAAGGTTTTGATGATGAGGTCTGAGCAGCCCACTGGGGAAGCAGTGCTGGAAACTGGCAATGTTGTACATGCACCCTCTTATTCCTGCAATAGTTTTGTCTGGTGCTTCGCTTACATTCATTCTATTCAATGAAAAGATCAAGGCCTTTGAGACAGTTTCTTTCCTGAATGGTGCTATTTAAATGACAATAATTGAACCAGGGGGAAAAGTACAGCAACAACAAAATTACATTTGTATAGCGCCTCACGTTGGGAGGACGTCCCAAGGTGCTGGATAGACAGAGTTTCGGACCCGAGCTGAGGGTTGGGGTTGGGGAGAGCAGGGAGGGAAGCAGGGAGATTGAAAGCACGGTCGAAGAGGAGGGTCTTGAAGTGGGTTTTGAAGGTGGTGAGGGAGGGGGCGAGATGGAGGGACTGCGGGATGGAGTTCCAGAAGGTGGGGACAGAGTGGAGGAAGGCCTGCCCGGCGATAGTAGGGCGAGTGAGGTTGGGGACATGAAGCAGGCCAGAGCCCGCTGAGCGGAGGGAGCGGACAGGATGATAGGGGGTTAGGAGGTCGGAGAGATAGGGGGGAACAAGATCATGGAGGGTTTTGAAGGTGAGGAACAGGATCTTGAACTGTATCCTCTGTGTGATGGGAAGCCAGTGGATTTGAGCATGGATGGGGGTGATAGGGTCGCGGAGCCTGGTGCGGGAGAGGACATGATCTGCAGAATTCTGGATGATCTGCAGCCTGTGGAGGGAGGAGTTGGAGAGGCTGACAGGCAGTGAGTTTGCATAGTCGAGCCTCAATGTAATGAAAGCGTGTATGAGGGTTTCGGTGGCCTGCGGTGTGAGACAGTGTCGGAGCCAGGTGATATTGCAGAGATGGGGGAAGACAGAGCAGGTCATGGGGCGAATGTGGGGTAGAAAGGATAGTTGAGAGTTCAACAAGACCCCAAGGTTGACTGGCTCAGTAAGGTTGAACATGCAACCATGGATGGTGAGACTGTCAGCGCCTGAGGTGAGGAGGAGCTGACGGGATTCAATCAGGAGATCCTCAGTCTTGTTGACGTTCAACTAAAGAAAGTTAGCTCTCATTCAGGACTTGGTACAGGTGAACGTCCAGGTATTCAGACGTATCTCTCAGCTCCCACTACCATATTTCAATCCTGGCCGATTAAGAACAAAAACCTTCGAAGCGTTATGCTTGTACAAACTATCATCTCACCTCAACGCAAAAGCATAACCCTGCACATCGCTGTATACTTCACTCAGCCCATTTTCTGAAGTTCAAATGTAAAGTGTGGGAAGCGAAAAAACAGAAAGGCCTCCACTTCAGAGTCACCGCCTGTGCTGCAAGAACAGTAACGTAAAAGCTACATTAAACAGTTCTTGCAATCACTCTAGTTTGGTATCCACTGCTCCTATTGTTAAGGGCTTTGAGATGTTCTTTTAAACAAACAACATATGTTAATGTAGGTTTTTGCTGCTGTTGTTGAAAATTGTTACCTTTGTCCCTACAATAATGGACTGAGTTCCAATTGTTATATTGTGAGCTGGGGTTGGTCACATTATTGAAAAATACACCAAAACTATTTTGTGTGTGGCACATCCCTTCAACAACAGAGAGAATTGTACAAATTGTAGTACATCCTAATTTTTGTACGGAACATGATTTATTTGAATTAAGATGACTGACGTAATTTGGGGAGTTAATGGAAAAACGAGGGTTAATTTTCCATCCTAAATTCTTGCAAGATTGTTGGCACCTGTTTATTGGAGGTATAGTTCTCATAAGTGTACATAGACAGTATAGCATGGAAATGGATCATTCAGTTCAACTAGTTCTATGCTGGTGTTTATACCCCACATGATTTGTGTGTCAGACTGGTGCAGTGGCAGCCTTCTCACCTCTGAGTCAGAGGTTTGGGTTAAAGCACCACATCAGGATTTGGCATCACGTAGACTAAGTTGACACTTCAAAGAAG